GCAGATTGCGAGTCGAGCTCCCTAACCACCTGGCCATGGAATAACGTGGAATGTTGCAATAGGTTCATTAGCAAAATATTTATCAGAACACAATATACGTGGGCATAAAATAAATAAAAATATAGAACTGGAAATATCCCATTTTACATGTTGGACTGCTCTGTATGGTGATGATGGTTTGTGCTGATATGTTACTTATAAACGTTTGTAAAAAAAAGTTCAGTCACACTGTTTTCTTAATATTGACATTGTAATATGAATTAAAATTTTCATTGGATTTTTAAAATTAAAGTTTTATAGTTTCAACTAAAACTGACTAGTTTGTTTGGTTGCACAAATAACTTTTTAAAGTGTAACGTTCCTTGCCCCTACAACAACAACAACAACAACAGCATTTTTCGTCTTCTGGGTAGTGTTAAAAGACGCTATCCTATGTTTACATAAGAAGATGTAATCACGCGTCGCTTGCTATGGTGATATTCTTAGAACTATCGTATAAATTGTGTACATTACGTTTTTTCTTCTCTCTCACACAAACTCACGAGCTACAGATTATCCACGTAATCTTGTTTGTGCCACTTGAATTTTGTTAGTTTATTGGTAATGCCATGTGTGAAAGGACTGAAACTAATATTTTATAACATAAAACTACGGAAGAAAAATAAAACGTTCATGTTTTCGGGTCAACACAATAAAAGTTGATAAAATAACTTTACCAAGTCTTCAAAAGGTAGTTTATAATGCCATGTTATCTTGTTAGTGTCCAGAAGGCATATATATAATATATATATATATATATATATATATATGTGTGTGTGTGTGGCTGCCGAGAGCCGTCATGGGCCTCCTTCTTTCTCCAGAGTCCCTTTCGGGCACTGGACCCCAGGGAAAATTTCCCCATCCACCCCGCCCTCTCGGTGGCCTGATTGTTACGTCTCCAAAAATACCGAGTTAAACTTCAGATTTAAATATACAAGTTTAATTGATTTACTCTTTTCGAAATTTATTTTTGTTTAACATGAATTTATTTCTTGTCACTGAAAAATTGGCGGGAAATTTATGGAAAAAAAATAGCTGTTAAATATAATTCATCTTGTTTATTTATATGGTTCATACTTGAAATATTTTTCTACCTAAGATTTCCTTATAGATCTTCACCCAGATTTTGTACGACTTTCAGTTATTGTACGCGACAGTTATACACGTACTTATTTGATAAACTGTTTGCAGAATAACTCTAAGGTTAAAGATGTTACGGTCCCAGTTCCGCACCCTGTTGGGGTGAGGCTAGCCTTAAGTTTTTTGAAAATAGTCGTTGAGGGTCAAGAAACCAAACTTAAACAAGATCGTAAGAATAGGTGTACTTCTGAAGGTTTGAAATCCACAATATTTGTTAATAAAGGCTTATTAGGCATATAATCCAATGCTATTTTGTTAATTATTTTAAAATACATGTGCAAAATTTGAATATGCTTAATATTTTTTTAAATATTGTTACTTATATTTTGAGATTAGTGAAGCAATGGCGTCTTTGTTTTTCTTTTCTATTTATGTTTTAATTTTCTTAATAAGAACAATTATTTCCACAATTCAATACTCCATATGGTGAGAGTTCGGTAGTCATGTGTACAGGTGTTTGAATTATTTCCTAGATGATTCTTAAGGTATAACAAAATAAGTGTGAACTACGTATAATGTTTAAAATTCATTTTTCAATATAAATAATTTTCTTATTTTAGCTATTAGGGAAGATAAATTTACATAATCTAAAACTAGTTGTAATCTTGTAGCATCCTGGACATTTGACATTTGTATAACTTAAACAAGATAAGACATGCCTTTAGCAAAAGAGGAGAGGAGAAAATGCAAGTCGAAAAGACTTGTGCAACATCCAAATTCATTTTTCATGGATGTCAAATGCCCAGGATGCTACGATTACAACCGTCTTTAGTTATGCCCAAACAGTTGTTCTCTGCCTGGGTTGTCCAACTGTACTGTAGGGCCAAATTAACAGAAGGTTGTTCCTTCAGAAAGAAGCAATACTAAAGTTTGAGGAGGAGAATTTAACAAACTTAAATGACTAATGATATGTACAGTTTCTTCTAAGTAAAATAAAGTTTGTTGGGAACACTAATCTAAAACTAGGTCATGGTTCTTTAGCACCTATGGATTTATTACTAGTTTAATAAAAAATAGTATTTGAAAGATGTGACTGAGCAAAACTATTTTTTTTTTTTTTTTTTGCTTATTAGGTTCAATCTCCATGGAATTATGATCTTGGATTGGTCAGTGTCAGGTCAAAGTTAGTGGAAGTCAACAAGACAAAAGATGAAGGAATTAGAGAAAGATTGTTCTGGATTTGTTTATTGTTGGACGTTAAATGTGATAAATCTGTTCCTACGTAGGCAAATAATTAATTTGTTCCTTATAGTTGTGGTTTCGTGTGTATTTTTATGTCAAGGCGCTTTTGCACATACTTATACCATAGAGAGACTCTTGAATACAAAGTTCCCTCATAAAGTGTCCAATGATATCTATCTCGATCCATGTAAATCAGGTGAGTTTTCTATTTTTATTGATTAATACTCCGATGATATCTATCTCGATCCATGTAAATCAGGTGAGTTTTCTATTTTTATTGATTAATACTCCGATGATATCTATCTCGAACCATGTAAATCAGGTGAGTTTTCCTATTTTTATTGATTAATACTCCGATGATATCTATCTCGATCCATGTAAATCAGGTGAGTTTTCTATTTTATTAATTAAACCTCCGATGATATCTATCTCGATCCATTAACGTTATTTAATATTCAAATACATGTATTAAATCGTTATTTGTGGCGAGCATCCATTGATTTCAGTACATGCTTGTAAGAAGCCTTGTCTTGATATTTGATTCACCTGTTTAGAGTTACTGATGGAAGACGGAATTCCCCTAAACCTATCGAAATTCAGTGGCAGGTGACAATTCGAGAAAGAGTGAGCTTATGTCTCTTGTTTTCGCCAAAATACAAATCATAGAAAAGTTTACAACACTATTCATTAAAATTGACAGTTGCTTTAAACATCAATATTTCTTGAAACATAAATTTCCTCAATAAAATAAAAAGAATATCCCAAAATTTATGTTCATTTTCTTTTGAACTTTATGTATAAAAACAGAAGTTTTAGTGAATTCAATAAGAAACTGGAGATGGACGTAGCGTTTGTTATTACGAATGTGTGTATATGTATTATGTATTAAACCAACTTGCTGAATTTATGAAAATAGTTATATCGAACACGATAAAATATGTTTTAGGACCTGCAGGAGAGAGGTTATTTCAAAAGATTTCTAAAGATATGTAGCTGAACAAAAACAAGCCCTAGCAAAAAATAATTAAATTAAAGACGCTGCATAAATTAAAAGGATCCCCAGGGTACAGGCTATAATGTGGGATATAAAATGTGCCATGCGTTTTGGAGGTGAAAGGAAATGTTTGGAGAAAGGGAAAATTTAGGCTTAAGTTGAAAAAAAAACTATCATCGTGGAAACCCTACCAGTTGTTGTTGCTTTTCGGTGGGTGAAATTTGTGTAAGTATTCAAAACAGTTCATTTTATTAAGTCGTTTTAAAGTTTTTTAATGCAATGTGATTAAACAATTTTTGCAGTACATTAGACGATATATAAACCAGGTTATAAACTTTTTATATTTTTAATTAATGTAGCCTATAAGTAATGTTAAGTATTTAAAGATTAATTTATTTGTGAATTTTTCTTTTCTTCACCAAAACGTGTAAATTCACTGCAAGAAGAAAGACTGCGTCAATACAGGATTTTACATTAAAACTTAGAAATTGTTAAAGTATGTTTCTGTAGTTTTTTATTTGAAGAAAGTTGAAAAATAGTCTATAAACTATGAAAGTGGTACAAGGATAATTGAAAGAATAAACATGTGAACGGCTACGTTACGTTTGTTTTATTATTAGATTATTCCCTTGTAGTGAACAATATTTCTTTTTAGTGTGTGTGTGTATTATGTTAATAATAATAATGTAAACAACGATTTATAAGCATAATGAAGTGATTTATTTATGATGGAACACACCTGAAGAAGACAGATCAATGTTCTGTCGAAACGTGTATGTTCCACCGTAAATAAATTGCCTTATCATGCTTCTAAATCGTCATTTGTCTGCTTATTATTATATTAGCACAATGTTCTTCCTTAATTAAGTGTGTACTAAACACACACACACACACACACACACACACACACACACACACACACACACACACACACACACACCAGTTAATGGGTTGCATATGTGGGTGTTGTGAGTGTTGCATACATATGCAAGCTATCAACAACTATTTTACAAAAAACACGCTGCAAGGGACCCTGACAATCGGAATACAGTGTGATTAGTGCTTCTTGAGATTGATACATTTTACTAATGCTAACCAAGAAGTTGCCAGCCATCGCCCAGTTTCGTTATCATGCAATACACTGATATAATAGTGTTCAATTTGGAAAAGAATGAGACAAACTAACCTTTCTGTAACTAAACCTTTAGTTAGTAATTGTTCTAAAACAATCTTCAGTATACTTTAACAGGTTATTACTGGTCTGCGTGTAACCGTGTAACAAGTTTGAAGTACTATAGACCGTGTAGTCCAGTGTTACTAGTTTGTGTGTAACGGTGCTAGCAAAGACAGGTCTTGAGCATTACGAATCACGAAATCCAATGAACAAATATACTAACTTACAATCAAATATGTATTAGTCCGTGGAATGAGTTTTATATTACTTTAGTTTTGATGGCAACTTTTTCGAAATTCTTAAAGCATATATTTTTATATTTATCAGTAGAATACGTGAAAACGAAACTTGTAATCACGTATTAATAGTGAAATAAATACCTGTATTAACTAATACTTTACGTTCGGGAAAAGAACCTTGTACAATTCTGGTTATCCCTATAAACATATTATTTAAATGTTTAAACGTGTCTTCGACTGTTCTATTCATACATAACAAATATTTTAAATATTGCATTTTCTCAAATAATACTTCGTACATATATATGAAAGAGAATGTAATAAAATATGTTGCCGACACGTGTTTTAGTGTATGACTTTTTATTACAAAATCGAGGCTAATTTTTAAAATTCAAACAAGATAATTAGACGAACTTAAAATATAATGCCAAGCTATTTGAATTATTAATACCTTTATATTTTTTGTATGTTTTCTATTTCTCCAACTGATTTTTTTCTAACTATTTCATTCCGATTGTCATAGATTTGTTTTAGATTTGTCATCCTTTGACCATTATTTTTACTTACACGATTCTTGTCTTTATTTGCACTTTTGTTGCCTCTGATCTCTTAAAATTTGGAGAATGTGAAAAGTGTTAACTTGTTCATAAACTACCTTTCTCTGGTTTTTTATCGAGATTTGGATAATTAGATTTCCTATCTGTAGTACAGATCTGCTAAAGTGTACACGGAACCACCTTGTTTAATAGATTCACAATTCTCACGTTTTGGAGTATTAGTTTTCAATGTAGTTATACCATGTTTTCTATAGTTAATGTTATTTCTAGATGCAAGTAAGTCTCAATAAAGTTTATATAAAGTGGGAGAAATAGTGTTGATATTTGACCCATCTGCTAGGTTAGAATCAAATGAAACTAATTCATAATAACTTTGTCTTTCCTAATTCTGTTAATTTCTAGGATAAGATTGAATGAAGTAGAATTCTACTTTAGTATTGAAGGGTTTTGTTTCAGACCCGTTTTAGTATGTTAGGTAAAAGTGCGTTGTTAAAAAAAAAAAAGGTTTTCAGAAGAAGAGTACAGAAGAAGTGAAATCCGTTTTCATTGAGGAAACAATAGGGAATTTATCTTGCTGTGCAAACAATTTTATGAAAATTGCTTACCAATATTTTACAGAGTGGAAGCTGTTTTATCATAAAATTATTAAGCCCGAAAAAGGTGAGGTTATTTTCATTAACATGTGTGGATTAGAATAAAAGTGGAATAAACTACAATACGTTTTTCAGGGTAAAAAACAAAGTGTACTCGAATATATGGTAATTAATAGTTTTGTTTCGAAAATCTTCAGAACATTAACCTGTGATGGCTGACGGTTTTATTCTGGAATTGGAGTTTTTTGAGATCGAATTTCGATTCGTAGAACGTTTATTTCGTCATAAACAAATTCTCTGAAACTTACCGTATGCATTTTGTGTAACCGTTCTTTATTTAATAGCTTTAAAATCGCCTACAGTGGCTAGTTGGTAGATTCCTGAATGAAGACATATTCCACTAACCGTTTTAATTTGCAACATCTATTGCTAGTCATTAATGTACTATTAGTCAACAATACCTTAACTTTGGTATGTAGTAAGTTGTAAAGAACACTAACATAGTATTTTCTATTCCGTTCCATTTAGTATGAATCTCAAATTGAGTAACCTTTAATGACTACTATTGTTTCAAATCATAATTGATCAGTTTTACCAATTATTTCATATAACATTCTATTATTTCTCATTTAATATTTATATATTTTTTTTGTCAAAGGACTTCAATGCAGTGCTACCATGTAGACTTATATTTTAAATTATAGCTGAGAATTATATAACCAGTAATGATTTTGGGATTTTTTTAATGTTCTCAGTGTGCAAAATCCAGTTTTCATGTTGTTGGTTGAATGTTCTGATTGCGACATATATCGGACATAAATTTTTGTGTAGCAAAGTGAGTGAAACGTTCCTCTGACCAAAAACTTCCGAATTTAAAGCTCTTTCAGTCTCAGTATGGATGATTCACTTGGTAGGTTTTGATAAACAATAATTTTCTAACTTACTTTATTGAGTCTGTCGTAATCCATCAAAAAATTGATTTTTTTTTATTAGATGAATTTATAGGAGACATAGCTCTTAGCAGGTTTGAGAATGAAGAGTATGATCACGAACTTACCGAACAAAATAAACAAGAGCAAAATGGGAAGATGAAACAAGAATTACATGTGAAAGACACAACTGAAACTAACTTACCTGACCTGAAGACTTACCAGAGCCCGGGACCTTCTCAATCCTCGCGAAAAACGAACAGAAATGTGCGTAGAAGACACAAATCTTTTCGCACTCGACGAAAAGATAGTTTTCAAAGGTATGATATGGTGTCGACGCATTAACCACTTAATTGATTTCTCGTGTTCATTAATGTTCGAAAACTGTGAAAGTATTGCATGTACTGGTCTTTGTAAACAAGTTATTAAACTGGTTTATTTGAAAAAAATTACGTGGTCAGGCAAGCAATGTCACTTAGATATAACTTTATTTAATAAAACTATACGTAAAGTAAATGGTATTTATAATAGTGTACAGAGTATGAAACGGTTATGAGCGTTCAGTGTATGACAGGTTTTACGAGTTGAAACAGAAAACTCGCAAAAACGAATAATGAAGCCCATAATAAAGAAAAAATGTAGCTAAAAGGTATTTACATCAGTCTGTGAAACGAACGGAAGCTAAATTATTTCAAAGTAAAGTATATGTAAAGTTGTAATGAAGGCAAACCTAGGTGATTATGCAGAAACGTCTGAATCCGTGTTCACAAAGTAGTAAACATGTGGTTTTGAGTTGTGGCATATGCGTATTTTAGACCTAAATAAGTCGAGAAAGCACATAACAATTGTATTTAATGTAATATTCCCCTTTTTTTAAAGGAAATTACATTCTGATTAAGTGCTGTTTGTGTGAAATACTTTCAATTCAAACTCCTTAGACAAAGGCCTTCCTAACGATATGAGATGTGTAGCTTTTGATCGAGAAATTTACGAGAAAGTTCCGAACAGACAAATAGACTAACGCAAGCATATTATTTATATAGATTTTTTGTTTGTTTCAATCTTCATTGCCCTAATCATTTGCTATTCTATCACGATTAAGTGGTCTATATAACAGTAATTGTAACTAGACTATCAAACAAATCATAACAAACAAATGTTTTTGTTTTATAAATAAAATGACTTACTCAGAATTTCTTTCAAGTTAGTTTCATTAATATTATTGATTATAATATTTAAAAATTTTAATCTATATAATAAAATTCAATGTGTGTGTGTGTCACGTAACTCCACCTCAGCCGCTGGTTGCACCGACTTCTAAGTGGTACCATATGAATCGTCTGGGTCCCGACTTTTTGCACAAAGGTAAAAATTTTCACTCCACTCCTTGGGGAACCCGGAGATCTCTCGAAAATCCTTTTTCTAAACTGCTGGATTCACCAATTTTGAAATGGTGCCAAGCGAATCGTCTCGGCCCCAGGGTTGTAGAAAAGCACAACTTTTTAACCAACCCCTAGGGAAACCGGGTATTGCGAGAAAACAATTTTTCGGGGATTCCCATAAAGCGGTCTCCAAATTTGGCATTAGAGTACGTAAATAAGTAGGCCTACTAATTACCTCTCGTAACTTTGTTAAATAAATTAAACTTGCATTATAGAGAAGTTTCTTTACTTTAAAATTTGTTTTCAATCTAA